CAATCATTTGCTCTCAGTGAGTATCCAGATGGACAGTGACTCGTGACCAGTGTCAGCGTTATCTTGAATTTACAAATGGATTCCATGACTGCTCGAATCAAAAGCAACCAAACCAGCAGCACAAAAGCAAATTCACAAGTCTGCGATAAGGTTGTGAGGTTTAGCCCATGCACTTAAATCTTTATAATAATTGACAAGGTCAGGTCATTTCCAAATAATTGTAATTCAACACTGCGTTACCCATCCAGACAGGTATCGCACAGTATGGATTACTACTGACGTGGGTCGCATAAGATGTCTAGAGGTAGTAGTATACTGTGACCAATTGATCCTATATACTACGGTTAGCACCACTAGAGCAGTGTAGCTGAAAGTTTCCTTTGGGAGAAGGGATTTAGTGGTAATGACGTTAGGAGTCAGGGGGTAATTCAGGATAGAGAGGATCGTTGGTTCTGAGTACTGACACGGCGTTCATTGTGCGTCGGTGGCACAGTGGTTATGAATCTTGCCGACCATGCGCATGGTCCGGGGTTTGATCCCCTGCCGACGCACACCTGATATCTATGGTCGGCCTGCAAAATTTGGGTTACCGGTTTCACATGTTGAAAATCCCATACCTGTACCAAAAATATTGTGTGTAATCAAGCTGTAATCAAAAATCAAAAATATATGGTACACTGATAATTTCGAGTTTTCTCCTCAGTTCTAATACAAAGGGTTTGTTCAGCATTTGTGAACCTGAACTGTCTCTGGCACTAACGTGATATCCTCCTACCAATTAGACAAATCAATGTAATCTGCAAAATACTGGCCATGACTGTGATGTCAGCTTCATAGATCAGACCAGTAGGTCGGGTTTTCAGATTGTAAATTTAGGCAAATGTAGAATTGCGAACTCCACTGGGATGAATAGTTTGGAAAAGAACCCCGCAGTTACAATGTATGGAGTAGCACACAGTCGAAGAATAGGGTAGGACAGGTATTCAGTTCTACAAAGTAATGAGTAAGTGAAAGTAGTGATTGATCGCTGAAGCCTTGTTATTCAAACCTATACATAATGCGTGCGGAATCAGATCCATTGTCGAAGACATGAAGAATATTACTACCAATGAAATGAAATGATAGAGGGAGTTGGAATTATATAAACGAAGTCAGGTAATCGTTGAGCAGATAATTGATATCATTATGAACAATAAATTGAATTCAAAACGTCGTCCAGTAAATAATACTGTTTTTCTGTGTAATATATCTAAAAAACAAGTTAAAAAGGAAGTGTACCCCGTGCGCTTCTCTTCAGGGCTAAATTAAAGATGATTTTCGTTGAGTTACATTCACCAACTCCTTTTGAAGTGTTTGGGTTTTTCGTGTACCATGGTATGATTCATTCATATTGTGTGTAAGCCGTTAACACTATCAAGTGTGCTAAGAATAAAATAGAAGCTTTCGTTCATAAACCAAATGATAAATATATATTTTTCATCATTGGATGTTGGGTCGAGAGCGGGTTAACTGATTGAAACGCTTCGTTTTCATTTTCATGTTTTGTCCTATGTAAGTTGTTCTCAGCATAGTGGTAAGATAAAGAAAAATCCTTATGTGATTATATAATAAAAATGTCCGTATCCTATTTTTCACTTTTACAAATGTATTTGGATGACTACATATACATAGAGGAGGTCAGTGAGTCACTAGTTCCATAACCACCGTTTTTGTTATGCTCTTCAACCTATTCAGTACTTGACTTCAATTATTCGCGAAAATTCCGTCATTTTATAACAGTATGACGTGCGTGAAAGTTTTTACGGCAACAAGTATTTCTAAGGGTCTCGGTGAGCAACATTCGTGTATACACGAATGATTTCGGGCGCAATGCAGAATATTTGGGGCAGATTTTCGGCGCATTGCAAAATTTTGGGGGCAGGCTTAGGGGCATTATCCCACGTTAGTCTGTGCGCCCAAAGTTTTTTGACCCTGCGATTCTGCAGTGTTCCCGAAAAAAAATGCTAGCTGGGTAGCTACATACCTCCGGGATACATTTCGAATAAAAGAAGCCTCTTGCCTTCTAGAATGTTTTTATCACTTTCGTTTATCAGTCACCTCGATTACAGACTACGCTGTAGGTTATACACCCATCGTGAATCAGACCCACCTTCAATTCCCGGTCAATATACTTCTAAACCTCTTGTCTACTAGCAGATAGTAAACCCGGAAAAGAGGGCATTTTGGGTTTGAAGTTATCAACCCCATCCCATTTAAACAACACAACCCATATGAAACTTTAGAAGCTTGTTTCAGTCGGAATTCAGGGAAGGAAACAAACCACCCACACCTTATAAACATTTGAATTATATATATATATATATATATATAATCCACTCTTTAATGCGAGAACAGGTGTTTTACTGCCGACTGTTGTGCACACGAACCTTCATCAATAAACTAGTAGATGAAGAGTGTGAATAGCGACGCATTTCAGAAAACGCAAAACATGACATTCGTTTGTACGTCATACTTTTGTCAGTGTCCAGATCACTTATACAGCCATTTGTCGAATGTTGGAAGTGGTCAACATAATAGAGCACTGCTCTCTCTATACTTCAAGGTATGTGGAGTTCGAGAATGTTATTTTTTAAAATCATCTTTTGTTTTCCTGGGGATAAATGTGCACTAGTTATTTTGAGATTATTTTACTGGGATTTCAGAAGAGAACCTGGCAGTGTCATCACCGTAAATAAATATATCTGGTGTGTACTGTTGATAGGACAAAACTTTTCCTGTCGTTACAGCATTTCTGAAACAAACATAAAGTCAAAAATACTGAGATAGGAAATTCCTGAAAGACACGAAACATAAAATTTACTTCGGAGAAAAACACTACCAAATTCCCAGGTCCGAACAGCCGTCTGACTGGTACATTACTATTTATAGATTTTGCTTTCACAGGGCATCGTAAGAACTTCTTGGCATACGAAGTCGAATGTAGATTCTAGACAGAGATATAACATATATCACCCCCCGGTAAATATGTTGTAAAACTTGTTGAAGATCGAAATTTAAACCTATGCAGATTCATCTAGGCTTGAATCCTGCCTATTAATCGTGTGTTTGTTGTTAACACGCTATATTGAAAATGTACAGAACAAGGAATCATGACATGATCAGTAGGGATTTGCAGAATCCTAAATATTAGTAAATACTTGTATTTTTAACGCGCAGTCTTACCATTGTTTCTTCACATCTTAACAATTCTAGCCAAGCTGTTTACACATCCCTACTTCAGAATATTTTTGAAAAAAAGAGAATCCTGGGATAGATAGCAGAAATGTTCATATTAGTTGGCTTGTTCAATTATAATATTCCATCAGCCCCTGATGTAGTGGTCGGTGACGAAGTATGATGCAGCAATTCAACTCGGTTTAAAAAAAACTTTTTTTATTACGGCTTGAGTCCCCACCGTATTTTTTTGTGCAGGTATGGAATTTTCAGCATGTGATTTCGGTAGCCCAAATTTTGCAGGCCGACCATAGATATCAGGTGTGCGTCGGCAGGGGATCGAACCCCGGACCATGTGCATGGTCAGCGAGAGTCCTAACCACTGTGCCACCGACGCACACGTTGGCGTTAGTCACCAACTCGATGTACAGAGAATGTGCACTGTGCACTAGTCCCCACAGTTCATATACTGTTTGAGTCATTTCCGGTTAAAGCAGATAGTTAGTTTACTGGTTTTTATTACTGGCGTGTGACAATAACGAAACTATACTTGAAGTATTAAGTTAGGATGAAAAGTCAGTTGATACGTTTATAGATCTTTATCAACCAAGTTGGCTGGGGCTTGCGATACATGCAGATATCCTTTTATGATAAAACTTCACTGGTGTGGGATAAAGCTGGATAGTTAGACCAGAATATAGCATCATTTCATAGATTTTATGACTGCTTATATCAGCCATGTAAGTGGGTGTAGGTTATGTGTCTGTTGCCTGTACTAGTGTGCATTCAGTTATCTTTCTTTCACAACTTCGTACCATCATTACATTTGTACCTTATTTTCTGTGCGTTTAATAATGTGGCATATGGAACGGATGCAGACTCACGCTAAGTTCTGCGTTAGTCATTCAGTCGTGACTGTTGAGCGTATCCATATGCTCTTCAGTTTTTATTTCCCATGTGTTGCACGAGACTTAGTAGTTTAGAACTAAGACAAATACGTTTCATCTTTCCTAGTAATAAATTACGTAGTGTTATATGGATGCCGAAAAATTGGGCGTTTTTAAAAAGGCATGGAGGTAATTACTATTTTTATCAAGAATCAACGAAGAAATCTTGTGATTTTGCTGTTGTAACTTTATTTCTAAAGTTCTCGTCAATCGCTTTCATACCCTGTTTGGTGCATTTTGAAGCTAGAAGTAATGTTACATTTATGTTGTGTAGCACTTACAAATATTTATAGTCTCCACTTATAAGTAGCTTCTGCGTACTTTCTTTGATTGGATCTTAGATATCAAACAAGTTAAAACTTCTGTTGTTCATACCATTCCCATGAAAGTTAGTTTGGTTTTCACTTGTTGTGAAGTAGTATATCATAACAATATTTTAGTGGTATTTATGTATTCATTCTATTTGTTACATTGTTTTCTTCTATTTCTATTGAAATATCACTACACCGTTGGGTATCGTATGTTTTCGTTATCAATTGTACCAGATTGTGTTTGCATAAACAGTACAATAAACCACCATCTTACTAGTTTACCTAGCATTTTGCACTAGTTAATTCTTTAAATAAAATGCACTGTAGTTAGGATACTCCTAATTTTGGTTAATTTGCAGTAAATTTTAGATTAATATTTTGAAGGAGTAGTTTTTCTTTGCTAGACATTAGTTTAGAGTACGGTGTTTCGCTTTTTTTAACCAATATTTAAACGTGATTCAATGAAAGTTTTACCCGATTTTGGTTTTCATTTTCACCTTGTTAATAGATTATGAACATTTTGTAAATAATGGAGACAGTTGAGAAAGATGTTTTCAGCCTAGACAAATTTGAAACACTCTCTTTAAATGATACACCTAATCCAAATGAAGAAACAAATGAAAATTCTAACTGCTTAGATGAAGAATTTTGCAGTGATCAAGATTTGGATCAGAAAGAGTATTGCCACTTTGCACACTTCATATTTAACTTTTCAGAAGTGAAATCAGATCTGCCTTAGTTCAACAAACCAAAGATTTATACGAACACTATGCTAAAGAGCAGTTCCCCAGAGATCCAGATAAAGTATGTTCACCTTGGCGGCATAAACATGTTATTTTTCGTTTTTAGCAAAAAGAGTTGATAGCTGAAATGCAAGAGCAATATTTTGATCATTACCTTTCGGAAGTTTACAGGTTTCAAATAATTCATCAACAGCAGCAACTTGAACAGGTGAATTATCATTTGATTCAAGTGTTTAATTTCTCTTGACTGGTTATAGGTGTAGCCCATACTTTTTATTATATTATTCAAAATAGTTTAACATTAGCACACCCGTAGTCGATACATTTCTTAGCCTCATGAACTAACGTCACACATAGCTTTCTAATTTTTCGTTCATTATTGATATTTAACTGAAGCTGAAGACCGTAGAAATTAAAATTTTCATAATTTAAGTAAGTAGTAAAATAATATTGTTAATTTTTTGTGTACACAGTAGGAGAAAATTTTCACAATCCATCGCAGTTCTCCTTTTGTGTTATATAATTCACTATTATTTCGCATGGAACATAGGACTTCAATAGTAAATCTCCATTTTGTCCCGTTCTCTGCAGTCCCCACAATTAACCATAAGCTGCTTTCATCTCTTCCCTACACGGTCTCCGCCATGTCAGCCTCGTAGCTACACTCAACTTGTTGTTTCCTACTCAAGGATCTGCAGTGTGATGTCATGCAACGGTCTCTTCAGCATGTGTCCGATCCATGTGTATTTTCTTCAAAATATTTGTTGAGCAACAGATTCTGGTCCGGTGATAGCTCAGTTGGTAGGGCGGAGGACCGTAGATTGGTGCAATGGTCCTTAGGTCGGTGGTTCAAATCCGCCTCGCCGGAGCTCATTGGCTTTTGTGTGGCGGTGGCTCAGCGGTAGGATGCTTGCCAGCCATGCGTGTGACCCGGAGTTCGATTTCCGGCCGGCGCACATCTTCATCTCCCCTAGCCGGTTGTAAGCCTGACTAAGAGGGAAGGTTAGGCATGAGGTTAATGACCCCACCCGTAAAAAACACCACTGCTGCTGAAAATTCAAAGCTCATGTTTGAAGCCCTATGTTCCACTGGAAACGCAAAAGAATAAAATAAAAGAAACAAGATAATACTGCATTAATATAATGCTATATCTCGGGTACTGTAAGTAAGTAGGACTCAATATTAGATAAATATTTAATATAACACAGTGATATATTAGTAATAACTGGATAACGTTTCGAGAACAATTTACTACTTAGAATCACATCATATTTTATCATAGCTGGCTTTATATAATTTCTTCCCGTTACTTAATGCAATGTTCCATGTATCTGTGACTGTTGTCGCGTGATTTACATCACATAGGATATGTGTTGACTAGAAAAACGAAGTTACGGTGATGATACTTCCTCATTTTGTTTAACCATATTACTTTTTAATACATAGACACTATCCTATTCTATTGTGTGATTGCATGCATAGCAGTAATCTAAGTAAAATGGCTTAGTATCATGTATTTGGTGACCTTGAATATTTGGTTACTTCGTATTCTAATTTCATATTTTTTTCTCTTGCTCCTACTGTGTATATAATATTTTGATTTGTTTTCCCAATCTATTATGTATGACTTTTAGTTACGTGAAATAAAGTCAGTTGGGAAAAAATCGGATGATACAAATGGTGAATACGAAAGAGGTTAGGTCCTTTTTATAATGTTTTCATATCATTATGTTAGTGTTTTAAAAAATTACTTTTTAGCCTCTTTTAGAGTAGAACTGTGTTCATGGTAATTATCTCCTTACTGCATAGGTTAATCTCCGTTTGTATTTTCGTTACTCTACATTTTTTATCAATGAAATTGTCTGTTTTGTTATAGGTTTAAAAGTGAAACCAAAGTTCTTTTATCCTCTAAAACTTAAATATGTCTTCAACATCAATGACGTAAGTTTTTGGGCTTAATTTCTACACAGCAAATGTTTATTAGTGGTATTTTTGACGGAATCCTCTAACTGCTTTAAATCATGCGTAGGTCAACAATAGTTTCGTTGTTAAATTTGATAATCAAAGGGCAAAATGCCAGGAAATTACTGTGTTTTGTACCGTGTGAAGATACTTTATCTTAATAATACCAGTTGTCTTCCCACAAGCTATTCATAGATTAGGACTGTATAAAACAGCCTTCAGCATAAACATTTTTACGTCTCAGTATTTCACTACTAACCATTTACTGACGATAAGTGTTGAAAAAATTTACACGTTTCTGCCGGAAAATTTTTCTACCTCTATCTCTGGTTTCAAGTTGTCTTCCTATGTGTGAATTACTTTCACTAATAGCGGTTTGTCTTTCGAAAACACCATCAGTTTCACATGAAATTATAGTGGTAACACTTTACGTCTAGTGTGAGTGATAAATAATACCGTTTAATATAAGAAAGTCAGTTATTCGCATCCAGCGATTTCACGATAAACTCTTAGTCAAATCCAGTTGAAATAAATCTAAAATAAGTTAGAGTTGCTTTTATTTTACAGCAGGTCGAAGGTGACAACAGTTATTCAACGAAGACATTACTAATTTGTCTTGCTACATAGTGCATTGGCAGGAGTTAGAATTCATGGGCTGGCCATTGGATCGGGTCCCAGTGGCTCAATGGTCTATGAGGTCGCCTTGTAACCAGAAAGTCCTGGGTTCGAACCCCGGTGGGTGCGTACTGGTGAAGAGTCCCAAACTGGGGCAAAACTCTTATATATATATATCAGGGGTTGTATCGACTGTAATACTTATGCAACCCAAGTTTTATGTTATTCAGTATATCGTCAAAATAGTTTGTTTTTCGTTAACATAGGAAAAGAAAAAACCCTGAAAAATTGATATTTTCACTGTACGTATAGTTGTTTTATATTTCACTGGATTTTGCTGAAAAATTGCTTAGCAACACTCATGTACTGTCTACTGTGTATTTAAATTTGAAGTTGTAATATTTACAGAAATGAAATCCTTAAATTCATTCATTCCGTGATGCTTTTGCGAAAATTATGAATTATTAGTTACACTAATCATTCCAGCCTTGTTTATTTAGTGCTGGCTTCACCTGAAAGTACTAGAAAGAAATAATGCACTTGATTATTTTTATCAACGAACAAGGAAAAAAAATAAATTTGGAAAGTATAACCCCCTTTGTAAGGGCTGGATGTTGTATTAGTAAGGGAGTTAACTAAAAGCAAAGGCGTAAACCCAGCAAACATTCATTTAATATGAAGAATATTAAAACTGTTATTCTTATTCTGATTGATTGTTTTCCTTGCTATATTGTTCTCTTTCGTAGTCGGCGTATTCTGCATTCAATTTAGAGTACTTAATTTATTGTCTACCTTTCACTTCAATTAATTGATCTACTATTATTAATAAATTTTAGAGTGATTTGTTCTATATTACAGCTTATAATTGAACAGTAGAGTGTATTGACTAATTTATTTTCAGATCAAACTCAAATGTGCCATCAGTCCATGAAGTTTTTGACAGTTGTTTTGAGCCACTTAGGGAGGTATAAACTGTCTAGTTGGAGTCCTCAGGGTGCTAAGAACCAGTGGCCATAGACTATTGGTGAAATCGTTTTCAGTGGTGCAGACGTATTCACTATTTGTGTTCTCACATATCCCTTAAATTCTTAAGTTTTTCCATGTTACTATTCTTTCTTTCTCCCTCAAATTGCTGCTATTTGTAGTTTCTTTGGTATCTCTTCTCTGTTTTCTTTACCTGGAGGGTGGTGACTTGAACTGTTGTCCTTCTGTTCAAAGTTCCATGCTGGAACTCAGTTCATTTATTTCAGTCCTCTAAGTTTGATGGTTTATAGAAGTGAGGCATAGATGTCGAATTCTAAATTCGTCAATGGTTGTACTTTAGTGTATACTCATTAACTTATCACCATTCACTCTGACTAGCATTCAAATACACTGGCAGTAAATAAAGTATGTAGTGCTCGTCTATAACAGAAGCAGAATTATATACATCAAATTACTTTTTGAGACCATACATTTTAAAGCCTTTAATTTTATCAATTACTGGTTTAAGTGAATTGTATGTAAATGAATTTTCATACAACTGGTTCCCTTGATAAATTTCGATAAAGAAAGGAAGACGAAATTTGCAGTATAAAATGATATCATTCTATTTCACAGGTTCTCATCAGCTGCAGACTACCTGAAATTACAATGGTTATATAAATGGTAATAACATACTTTAATGTTTGATTAGTAGTAGAGAAGAGATAAAATTGACGCATCCAAAAAAGAATGAAAGCATTACAATTTTTAGTTTAAGTTATCATCATCAATTTATACACTTTCAGAGTTGAAAAGAGGGGGGAGGGGTAAGACAGAAAACAGAAAAATTGATTAACAGAAACAGTGTTAGCTTGTAGGTTCACATAGCAACTCCAAAAAACAAAAGCATTTACAGTTTGTAAGATTGAGATTTGCTCAGTGAGTTGAGATCACTGAATTAGATGACTAATCAAAAACAAAATTTCAGTTACCAAGCGAGTGAGAGGTTAATCACACTCTCTTTCTGTATGCATAAGTCTGGTTTAAATCGTTTGATTGCGATCGCTTCGGCAAATCGTAGTAAATTTGCTGTCCTTTGTCTATTTAATATTTTGAAGGACTTGGAAATCTCTACAAGCTAACACTGTTTCTGTTAATCAATTTTTCTGTTTTCTGTCTTACCCCTCCCCCCTCTTTTCAACTCTGAAAGTGTATAAATTGATGATGATAACTTAAACTAAAAATTGTAATGCTTTCATTCTTTTTTGGATGCGTCAATTTTATCTCTTCTCTACTACTAATCAAACATTAAAGTATGTTATTATCATTTATATAACCATTGTAATTTCAGGTAGTCTGCAGCTGATGAGAACCTGTGAAATAGAATGATATCATTTTAAATGAATTTTCCTGACAGATATTAAAAAATATTCTCTAGAGTTTATAAATGTTTGCTTTCAAAAAAATTTTTTCAAAAGCCATTGGATTGTATAATTTACCAAATTTTTATTTACATATTTAAAAAAAAATAAAAATTAAGATTCTCCAGTTTCACTACCTCTAATCCCTGCGACAATATGGACTCGTAAGGATATTGCTGAGTTCAAACGAGAGATTCTTGATGTACAAAAGGAATGTTGTATAAAGATAGGCTCTTTAGCTACAGCAACGGTAAGAACTCTGTAATTTATTTATATATTAATAATTTGATATTTAATGTGTTCCTTTTTAAAAAAAAATATTATTTTAGCTCACCGGTTAATTGTTCATAAGTTTTCTCATCATCTGTTTGCAAATTACAGTTGCCCAGATAACGGAGTCTTTCTTCTGTAATCCCTCTTTACTGTATAGCATAGGTCAAATAAATTCTGTGATGATAAATCAGTCGCTTAAATTACATTTTGGACATGCAAGTAATGTTGTAACAACAGAAGACAAGGGCCAGGCAACAGATCCTTTATTTAGGAAATCAACACCTATTTATATATTTTCATGTACATTATTATAGATTAGTGTAAGCAAACAAACACAGTCTTCTGATTGGTAGTTTCTCGTTGAACGTTAATCTTTCATCTCTTTGTGGCCGTTTATTGAAGTTCAGATTATCTATCTGCAAATTGTATCCGCTTACGCAAAGTCTACTGTGGTTGGTTGTTGAATCAATCTTTGTTCTTATTTCTCTCACGACCAATATTGGGGACGTAAACATTGACGTAAATTACTGTCCACCAATATGGCTAGCAGCCAGCTCTCACCACAAAGTGTACAAGCTACTTCATATTCCCCGTTGACCGATTTACACTAAACCGAAATGTTCTCTGTGTGTGTGTATGTGTGTGTTAACTTGTTAGCACTTTTATGAACTCTTCAATGATGTATAGCAGTTGAGGTGATGTTATTTGTTTGATTGTAGCTGGCACTGGAATTAAGAATGTGCATTTCACCTGGATGTACATACATCCCCAGTAAGCGATAGTGTCACCACTGAGGCTAGAACTCAGACCTCACCTTTATACATACCAAAGCGCTATCCAATTTTGATATTAAACATTCTTTAACTTTTGCTGATGTATTACAGCTTTTGATGGAGAAAATCAAAGTGACTAATGTGCCTTCAATTTCTTACTTGACGTCTGTAAAAATTAGGTGAATTAATATTACGCAGTCCACTTGCTTCATTCTTATTATTTAAAGACTGTTGATGAAAAAGAGAGAAAGAGGGAAGTAAAATTAAGTGATTAAAGATTTACTGGTCACTAAAGTGGCTAAACTTGTTAGGGGAATACTGCTTTGGTATAATTTTATTTGACATCAGATGTCCATCCTAATTTCTAGAGGACCTGATTGAATTATCTAGTGGGAAAGTAATCCATTAAAGTGTACTAGCCTAAACATTAAATAATGTTAGTAGTAATTTCAATTGTTATTTGTCGATCTGCATGTTAGGAGAAAAATACCAAATAATGTTTCCATAGTACCGCGTATTATCATCTGATAATCTTTCCCATCAAAAATGTTTTATTGTCTAAATTCTACTAGATACTCCTCATTGATGACATTATTTTGTTTTAGGTACGCGTACCAACTCATCCCAATGGAAAGGCCATATGCTGGGAATTTGCCACGGATTATTATGATCTAGGTTTCGGTTTATATTTTGAATGGGATTTGGAACCACCTGAAAATATATCAGTTAACATCTCTGAGTCAAGTGATGAAGAAGGCGGTGAAGAAGACGATGAGGATGGACCTAGCTTTAATAATTCTGGAGAAAAGCCCTCACCTGAGAATGGAGATAAAGGTAGGAAATGAACACTAGAAATTGTGATGTTATCTCTGTTTGTCGAGTATATATCTTTCTGAGTATTATACTCTTTCCTTACGTTTTTTTAAAATATGCTACTCAGTTAAGTTCTCTAAATGATGAATAGTTGCTCTTTTTGATAGATGATCAAATTCATCTCTTTCTGCAAAAGTGATATCTACCTACCACTGACGGTTCCTTCAACGAGCAGGTTGTTACGGTTCCGAAAATATTCTATCATTTGTTCCTATACCGTTCAGTTCTGTCTATTGAACTTGTAGATGGTTGGGAAAAGAAAGCCTCTATCTGTTTGTACTGTTTGTGAAGTAGTACTATGAAATAATTTATACACTTCAAATTAACCAGGAGGTCTGATCTGAAATTTACACAGGAAAAACAAGAAAATATCAGTTTGGATTTCGTAATGATACGAAATTCAAAAATCAGGCTGCCTGTAATTCAAACATGATACAGAAAGCAAACATTGCGGTCAGTTTAAAACTGTGAAAACTACTCTGATGCACAAATTTTTTTTATTAAGATCGATCATAAAGACTATACTACCAACTATGCTTATTATGTAATTATATTTTGCTCACTTTACTAGGAAAAAAGTACGTCTAATAGGTGATAGATAAAAAAGGTAATTTTGTTGTATAAGGATGTTAACACTTACAGGTTATCTGATAATTCTAGTAGGTATCGTTCGTAGAATGACCATTTAAGCTATTGATATAAGTATAAAACCTGTGCCCTGTGGTAGAGTATAACTCTATTATAGATAATATTTTATTTTGATAACTGACACAGTGTTGTAGAGTAATATTAACTGATGATGTTTCGAGCACAAACTATTGCTCATAATCATACCAAGTTATTACCTTTTCTGAAATACAGTGGAACTTGTCACCTGCAAGAATAACCAATAGGATTACAGTAATACATTCAATTATAATATGGTTAACAGTGGCATATCAGAAACGAATCAGAAACGTTTGAATCAGGGCTCAAGGTAGCCTATATGTTGTTGAGCTAATTGAATACTCATAATCTTAGTTAAAATTCAAGCTTAATAATAACAACTTGTTTGAGTATCTTAGTGATGTTCCAGAAACTGTCAGCCAGTAAATTACCGTATTCTTAGCATCATGTTAATACTTTGTAAGTAGTCGTGTCCTTTCGTTTTTCATGTAATCTGATCATTTAGGCAAAGTTCTTTTTTAAGAGAACATTCTACTTTTTAAAAATACATAGTAGTTGGCCGAAGTATGTTTTGTTCATGAGATCAGTCGTTTAGAAACATAGATTTTTGTCGATAGGTGTTAGAAATTCAATTCTGTTGAATTTCACACTTAAATATTTAGGTAATATGTCACAAGTTTATTCAAGAAAATGAGTATAAATTATATATATATATATATATATATATATATATATATATATATATATATATATATATATTGGGAAATCCGTCAGGTTTAAACTAATTCTGACGTCGTGTCTTCCGTCATGATTCTTTGGTCAAGAAAAGACATACAAGCCTTACGTCCCGTTGGAAACATTTAGTAGATCATAAACTGACTGATATGTACTTTCCTTAAAAATACAACACATCATTAATGGTCCACTCAGCTTTAAATCCAAAGTAGAAATCAAGAGAATTGACGAAGATGAAATTATGGAAAAGTATTATATCAATTTATCATATACTAATATTCCTGTTGTCGAAAGTCTGAATGAAATTTTTCTTCTCCGTCTTTCTGGGCAGTACCTCTTCCAGTCTCCTGATTTGTCACATTCAAGACATCGATCTTTCCTGGAAGTCATTTGTAGCGCCACTACTTCACGCTGAAAATCTTCACTTTCCTGTTCCTATTCGTTCGATTTCGGTGACTGTGTTGCAGCTACCGTTGTTCTCAACAGCTGTCTGGTCACCTTTGCTAGCTCACTAATGTCCATAGGCTGTGTAACGTTAAGCAGTTGTAGTTGCTGAGAAATGTGGTCGGGAACACTCTCCATGAGCTTTGAAGTCAATAACTGCAATTTTGACTCTTCATCCAATGTATGGAGTGCGCGACGTAGTAGATTCATCAACTTCACCGCCAACACTAACAGGTCTCCGTCAGGTCCCAACTTCTCACACGGAACTGCTGCCTGTCTGTCGAACTCTGCTACCAATCGTTCAATCAATACCTTCCAGGACTTTCTACCACCTAGTCGCTTCACGTTGTCGTACTCCGCCTCTGCCCAACTTCTTTTCAGCTTCTCCACCACAACTTCCTACACCGTCGGATCCTTGACGCCCACCAACTCATCGATGTCTCTGAAGTCCCACAAGAAGCTCCTTGTTTCCTTCAAAAGCAGCCGACTTTAGAACCTTCATTGCCTGGAGGCAGCGACACCAAATATAACGGTAAAAGACAAGAGACTTGGTAACAGAGTGTTTATTTGAAATTCGGTATCATTATATAGCGAAATTATGTACGGCCTATCTGGAAATTGTCATTTGCACAAATCTTCCGTTTTGTACTACTTCTACCCTTTGTATTGTTTTTCTTTGTCGTCTTCACGTGTCTCTTATGTTTTGTGGAAACTCTTGTTCATTTGCTCTGTTTGACGTCAAATCTGTCTCTCCGCCATTTGATATTTATGTGCTGATGAACGTCTCTTTATATCATACTGACAAATCTTGTCATTAGCACATGCCATACTATCACATGTAACCGAGACAGTTCTTCGAAAACATGCACCATAGCAGTTGTTGTTCCATACAGTTCAAACACATCAACAGAAGCAGCATGAGAGCACTCCTTAGAACACCAATAACACTAAACAGCAATCCCTTTCCAGTGGAAAACAACTTTCTTGGAGAATTCACGATCTGTTTACAAACTAAAATGCTCAGACTGTGATATAACTGATGTGGAGTAAATATCTTGGCAAATCGAGGCCAGAAGAATCAAAAATCGTAGGGCTTATATTCATCACCAAGAAATCAAACGTAATTTGAAAGGCTTGAAAAATTTGCTATCATAAGTTTACACCCCGTAGTATCAGGCTTCAAGATTGATTTTGATAATGTAGAAATTATTGAGGAAAGTTGTAAAAGACTCATGAAGAAAATCTCATAGCAGACACATTTCATATAAATTCGAATCCAAGTTAAGTGAAAATGAATGGAGGGTTGTTATTATTAGTATGGTTGTTCCTCTGGACTCCTAGTGTAAGGTAAGGTTTTCTGCAGCTCTCTTTAGCTGGCCCCATAATTGCCCATAGTCTCTCATCTCTTCACACCATTTCCTCCATATCACCCTCGGAAAGACGCCCAACTCGTCGTTTCCGATCGGGTTCCACTCGAGAGCCTGGAGCGCGATGTCATTAGACAGTCTTCTGAGCTTGTGTCTGATCCATCACCACTTTCGTCTACAAATTTGTTAAGCAATAGGTTCTCGGTTGGTTCGTTCTCTATTGCTCATCCTTTCTGCCATCGGATCTTCAGTATCGAGCCACAGAAGACAGCCGTTTATGGAAGTCTGCAGCAGGTTGTTGGAAATGCTTTTCGTGATGCGTTCGTCAATTTTCTGACCCATATACAAGAAGTGACTTAACATTGGTGTTTAAAATCCACATACGGTTCTTTATGCTGAGTACAGAAAATTTCCAAACTAATTTCAGAGTGATGAGAGTCTGTCTTGCCTTTCCGACTTTGGTTTTGACATTGACAGTAGTTGAAATGATGCTTCCTAGATAAGTGAAGGAAGTGACCTCCTTCCTTATTAATTCCGTTGATAGTGATTGGTGCGCCTCACTTCTACAGCCTAACATGGTCAACATAAATACAATAAGCGTTTTTATTGCATAAATATACGGTCTCTTTATAATTCATACACTGGACAAATTCAGCTATCTGCACATGTCTTTTACCAATTCATTTATTTCACAACTTAGAGTTAATTCATACAGAAAAACTGATTGGGTTAACGTATAAACGCTCATATTTTATAAATTCTTTACTACTGCTATTATCGTTAAGTGACATAGTGTGTGTGCGTCGGTGGCACAGTGGTTAGGACTCTCACCGACCATGTACATGGTCCGGGGTTCGATCCCCTGCCGACGCACACCCGATATCTATGGTCGGTCTGCGAAATTTGGGCTACGGATATCCATGCTGAAAATGCCATACTTGTACTGAAAATACGGTGTGGCATCAAGCTGTAATCAAAAATAAAAAAATAATAGTGTTAGTAGAGACAACATCGTTTTGCTTCTTGTCTATTGGAAGGTACGAAGTGCCAATCATATGCTCAGTGCTCGAATTATTTCAAACGATTAAATTCGATCTCGCTTTGTACGTCCGATTTTAGCTCTATTCATTGTCTCATGACGTCATAGGCAAATAAACATTATTGTTTTTCATCTTTATTTATTTATTTATCTTTTTCTTTAAATATCAGTTTAAGTAATGGTGATGTCTAAGATATTCTGCTTTCCAATTCTTTATGCTTAGAATCTCCTCATGATTTGGAATTGGGCAAAAGGTCATCACAACCTCGAGTTCCTACTGACGAACTTATACCAATTTACAGAAGAGACTGCCATACTGAAGTCTACTGTGGTACACATCAATATCCGGGTGTTGGTGTATACGTATTTAAGTTTGATAATTCTTTCTCACTTTGGCGATCTAAATGGTTATATTATCGTATATTCTACACACATTGAACTGCATCGTGTGGTTGCTCATGCAATCTCATATATATATTTTAGCCATTTTGTTGACATTCCTTGCATTCATCATTGTCATTTCGTGGAGTCAATCGTTTTTTCCCCACTAAATTTCCATGTTCATTCACTTTTGCATCCTGCTGTTTTAGCTTGAAGTAATATCTGATATCAGTGATTATTTATGCATTAATTTGGCATTTATAATATTTTATAATCAGGCACTACTAATACTACTACAATTTCGCATAATCAACATCCAAGCATCTAACTTCTGCTTTTTGGTGTTCCTCGCTTTGGTTTAGTCTATATTTTTAATTATAACTAACTTATTTGTTGTTTAAGGGGATTGATTAAAGTGTCTCTTTTTTTTAAAAAAAACACAATCTTGTCTTAGTGACTTCATTCTTTGCCTGTGTAAATGAAAGTGTATGTATTTGAAAGAATATTTTACACACTCTATTATATCAAAATATACTGGCATACTTTATGCATGCGCACAGTGTATTATGTTGCATTTATCAATACTTCTTTTATATGTTTAAATTGGTTTTATTTTGATTATCTGAAAAGGAATAAAATAATGCGATTCGGAAGCTACACAAAACTGGTGTTCTCGTAAATGGAAGGTAAAGATGCTACTATATATAGTTTGTTCAGGCTCAATAGATGGACTGGATATTTAGTATTTTGAAGAAATGGAAAAGATTATAGCGTTCTGTTGTACAACACTTAGCATTTCATCTAACATGGTTTTGCCTAAATAAATGCAGTCCTTGCTTTTAACTGTACACTGAGATAATTCACTTAGAAATACGTATCTGAAGAAGTAATACGATTTAGAATTCTGTGGTGTGGGGGAATAATGAATAAAACGAAGGTATGCTTCTTAACAACAGTAGATATTCTTTTAGTAATCCAATATAAGGTGTTCGTTTACTAGCTAACAGTTAGTAAGATACTGTGATGGCTATAACTGATTATTACATTAATCATTTTGTTTACCGAAATCAAAGTAGTTACCGGTGTACTTAAACATCAGTCTATCCTCACCTCTATTTGTTTTATGCAGAACTTCATATTTTGGAATCAGTCCAAGATTGCTGTCAGTATTAGTTTGTAGAATTAAATGTTCCAAATTATTTAACAAAAGTACACATTGAAAATTTGCTAAGAGGAAACCGTTTACTATAGATAAAGATGTGACCTCTACTTTATTTTTTTAACCTTAGTTTAATTGTTAAGGAAGATAGGTATTCAATAAGTGTATGTGTTTTATTGAAAAATGTTAACTGATATCAGTCCGTGATCAACTCGTAAAACATAACTAATCCTTACAAACCAAACTATAGAAAATTATTCTGATGCTCGCTAGTGACTTGCTACAGGTTGGAGCTTCCTGCAGTTCTAGTGAGAAGTCGTGACCAGTGAGGTCCAATTAGAAGTCACGTGTGGATGGATTTCCACCAACGACAATAGTTGGGGTGGCGCTAAAATCACGAATTGGTAGAAGTTAGAATTCATGAGCCATTGAATCGGGTCCCAGTGGCTGAATGGTATACGAGCTTGCCTTGTAACCGGAAGGTCCTGGGTTCGAATCCCAGTGGGTGCGTACTGCCGATGATTCCCAAACTAGGATGAAACAGCAGCTGTCCAGTACTCCCTGGTTTTCAATGGTCCTCTAACTGATATCAGTCCGTGATCAACTCGTGAAAAATGTTAACTTCCATATCTGAATTCGTGACAAACCACCAATTGTATGTAGGTTTACAGGCGAAGAGTTGATTATTTAACAAACTACGCAGCAGTTTCAGTCTACAGTATGATGCATTATATAATTTGAAATCGTACACCACAATATCATTTTAAGTGTTGGTTTGTAGGGATTTGATTGGTTACAGGATTTTCATCATGAGCTGACATTAGTTAGAGAACCATTGGAAAACCTGGGAGTACTGGACAGCTGTTTCGTCCTAGTTTGGGACGTCCCTACTTTATCCACTTTTTCCCTTCAAGTTCCAATGTCTACATATGAATATTATATTTCCTTACTCAAAGAGTACGAATCAAATTTCTCGAAACGACAGAAACTATAGTAAACCACAAAGATGTTTCTATGGTTTTTTCTCACTAGTGAACACCTACAATTTGACTTGCGTTAATCATCGTTAAACTCCTCTTCAGCCCCGTGAAACACAATGATTTCCATTATATTAATGACAACCTAGTGTTTAAATATAACTTAAAAATGCTGTTTCACGAATGTATTCTGTATAGAATTGCAAAATAGAGGTTTTATTCAATACTGTAATAAATAACTCCCCACTAATGTACATAGGCATAAATGAATGGAACAACAGTGAACATATGCAACCCACCGCTTAATCATTAAAAGTCTGTTAGAAGGCTATACTGATTTGCTGCTATATGTAATGATTTATTTGAATATGTACAACGGTTTGTAGCAATATATATACAAGATTTTCAGTAAAATGAATTATTCATGTTCGTCTTCAGTCTCTCCAGGACACTGATTTAGGAGTTCGGATTGATTTTCGTACTGCAAGCTGCACCAAAAACAATAGTTATGTTGACCTCGCAGATAACTCAAAAGTTGCAGGAAGTTTCGTTGAATCTACAAAATTGGAATAACATATAAAATTCGACCAAAAGGTGTGAAAAAAGTGTATGACGGAACTATCTATAATCAGTTCTTGCCAACCCTATAAAGAACCATGTTCCGTAACAGCTGAGGTCGTAAAAACCATTTTCTCAAGTAAAAACATGTTAACTTCAAGTGCCAAGAACGACTACCATAGCCTGCTAATCTGTTAAATTTAGATTACAATTTTTGTAGGAACTTGAACTAATTCCAATGTAGATTTTGTTACAAATCAATATCATTTAAAGATCACCGAAAAATATGGGGCAGTGGAAAGTTACTCTGTCCTAGTTTGGGACTTTTCGCAAATGCGTACCAATCAGGGATCACACCTGAAAATCTTCTGGTCTCGAGACCAAGTTTGCTCACGATTCAGCCACTTGGGTCGGAAATCCATAAATTCCAACTTCGTCAATTCGTGATATAGTGCCACCCTCAACCCATTCCTTCGATGATCATCCACTTCACCTTGACATACTGGACCCCACTGGCCACGAATTCTCAATACAGCTTCAAGACATGCGTCTAGTAAACATCAGTGAGCCGGAAGTCGTAAATCAGATTATGTGTTTTCGTACACTAGTAAAATATGATGTGCAAACCTGTATATGATGACTGAAAGCATGTGAGTGTTTTGTTTTTATTGGTCATAGATAAAACGAAAGTGAAGTACTTACTAATGCATAGTCACACTTTGCATGCGTTGGGTCAAGCTTAGCTAAATCATTATCTTGAAGGTCTTCACCAATGTCATCCTCTTCAAGATTTAAATTAGGTGTAGGAAGCAAGTCTTTTGAAGATATATGGTTGTGTGTACTATTCCCCATTCTGCGTTTGGTACAGTCAGTGACTTCTTCTGCAACAGGGTCAGGAGGTGGCCAAAACGACTCATCAACTGGAGTTGTAATAGACTCCTTCAAGTCTAAATCCCGACATATTCGACGAGCGGCATGAAATTGGCGGTTTAGACGATTCTGTCGAAATCTAACGGCCATAATATCGCGAAATTCATTTTTGCATGCAATCTGCATTTGTTGTCTCAGAGTCTCCCTATACAGCAAACGCTCATTTTTTTCAGTAGCAAAGCCAAGACCCTCACGACCCTGAGGAATTTCAATAGGAACAGGATCAGCTCTACCAGTGGCTGAAAAAGAGAAAGAGGTGACATTAAAAGATAATCTTATTTGTCAAAGGGACGATATTGATATTTTAAGTATATTGACCTAAAGTCTGATATATACAAGTGGCATATATATATATATATATATATATATATCAGAGCAATAAATCAAACATTTACATATAAATGAACGCGTGCATTGCTAGGATATACATACCATTTTTACCCAAGCCTTTTCCCGGAACGTAGCCCATTTTTGAAAGCAAATTAAATCCTTTATTTTCTGGTCCAACTTGTTTTCTCAGACCTTCTTTGAGATGGTGGAGTTCTCTTTCTGACTTTGAAAGACATTTATTTTTACGTCGATTTTGTTCTACTAAACGCTGCCTCTGTGTATCCCGTGATACGATTAGTCCAGGTTTTACATCTTCTCTACATATTTAATAACAAAATATGAAAGCTTACATTTCTTTCAGGATGGCATCAGACATATAGTCGACTTCATCATCCGAATTGTTACAAACAGCACCGCCTGAATATCGTACATCATTACTCATGCTTGTATTGTAAAACATAATATCAAGAATATGACCAGGGGAAGGAAAGAAAATACAAAAGAGAAAAATTAGGTAGCAGAATAGAATAGCTGTGAAGTTAATGCAGAACGACAGGGTAAGATTTCATTTTTCAGAATGAAAAGTATGCATTTTTGAAAATAAGTATATTCAGAGACCTCACAATTACCATGTTAAGAAGGGTTTGAGAAATACGAAGCTTATATATATATATATATATATATATATATGAAAATTAATGCCTTTCTGTCAAGTGTAAACCTTGTATGAGTTTATACAGTACCACAAGTACACAGACTTTTTAAACTGAAATCAAATACTGAATAAAAATCTAAATGTATTGAGAGAAAATGTTACTACATAAAGTAATTGTCAGTGATAAGTGCATGCACTTATACATAAGTAGTTAACCGCATGTATAAGGTTAAAATTAAAGTACACTCAAGTTCAAGTGATGTCAGATGGCGAGGAACATATATTAGGATGCACATATAGCAAGCAATCAGATGTTGCGTTTGACTAATTTGTTAGAGGTAAACTTTTGTAACAGATCTACAGTAGCAACAGAACAGCCGTTAACACACAGATGTCGGTAAGTTGTTTGATCCTAGTCCATCAGTATTCACAAGGGAGCACCATAAACTGAACTTCACGGATAGATGTCTTATCAAGATAGAACCAAGTAGATACATTTTGTAAAAGCATGAAATTAGAGAGGGAAGAAGCATGACGAAATTAAGATAGATCGAGTGTGGAAGGGAAATGACTGAATGGATACTTTCCGAAAGTCAATGACAAGAAGAACTGAATGCGTCTACGACACACAAATTTGAGTCATGTCACCCAAATTATCCAAAAACAGATTTGCAGCAATCCTAGGGTATAAGCGATGCAAGCTGTGCCCCTAGACGCCTCAAACTAACGGTTAAAGACTTAATTGATCGGTGTTATTTTGGTCTGACTACACCTAGTTCTTTGTCAACTTAGTCATGTTTTTGCAGAGACTGTTTATCAAGGGAAGGAGTGGCTGATTATGTCTTAACCATTTCAATCAATGCAGCTCTACAAAATCAGTTGATTGTTTTCTTCAGATACCACTATGAGCCGTATTCTACTATTTCAGAACATATTGTTATAATTGAAAAGTGAGATGCTTTTCATACATCTATTCTACATTCAAGGCATGACAGCGTATTGCAACGCTACTCAATGATATTGACACGTACCTGGATTCAATAATAACAATAACAGTAGCATTGTATCACATTGTTAAACATTAAACTCGTGGATAATTAGATTTCAACCTAGTGACCGTATGACGAGTTAACCGCATAATTAACGATTTTAAGTGAACTGCAAAAGTCAGAAATCAAGACTAATGCATCACTTTTGCAACAGTCCCGGTACATCCCCACGAATATTTGAAATGCTTATATTTGAACTCCTGTGAAAGCTAGGAGTCAGCTGCGATATGCTTGACAAGCTTATTAGATAACACACCATGATAACTAGATTACGTCTCGAGTATAATTTATTGCTAATTGTTTTATCGATTTATTTGCACGGCTTCATTGTTTGACTGGTAAGTTTTTTTCAATTCTCTTTGCTATCCATTGCACCATTCTATATACCCGGTATAGGCATTGCGTCAGTCCGACTGCACGTGTTTGCTGTTGATTCGATGAACACAGATTCAGTGATTAACACCTCCATCGACCTAACTATACTATTTTTGAATACCTTTACCCTATCCTATTTTATTGTGTCATTTACCGCAAGCGAACACATTGCAATGGTTGATTTTTTTTTTCGGGTTATCTGACTTAACAGGGTCAATCATCCTACCTCTAGCTAAATTCTCAAGTTCTGATAATATAATTAACACCGATCTACTAGTCTTAACTGTGCAATTCGTCTCACAGTCATTACAAGGTAATTGGTAAAATATATTATTTTTCCACATTGCATGCATCGGGTCTTTCAGATTTAATTAGTTTAAAAGCAACCCCAATTCCACACTCATTAAGAATCCTACGCAGGCTATCATATGATTATTAGTGCATTTCAGCGATCACTAATTACTTCTCCGAAGAAACCAACATATTCAAAGCATTACGGAAACAATGCTGCTAGTTAGCATGAACTGTGTCGTATGCTTATACAATTTAATGAGTTTTCAGAAAGAAATCACGGTTAATTTTATTTGGAGAATTTTATATTAAAATATTACAGTAGTGTCACTGAAAATCCGTTGACGTCTTTTCATGCTGTTTTTTGTGATGTATTTCTGGGCCAGTTGCAGGAGATGGTCGACTCAATAGTCCTTTAAAGTGATCAGTCCACTGTTTTATTTGTTTCTCCTCCTTGGTAATCAGGTTCCCTCGAGCATATTTTATTGGCTTCATCATCTGGACTGATGAGCTACGTAGGCTGGTGTTCAGTAATGTTTAAACACTGTTCTTCAGTATCAAAATTAAATAAACACACTAAATAGCGTGGTAATAGTGATATCACCAATTTCCTTAGTAGTAGCAGGCATGTAGTTGGGAACGTAGATTTCTTCACATGTCTACTCCTTCTTCTATGTTATGATGGAGATATGTGGATGATACATACAGTATCGCCCATCCATACATCGACTTTCTCATAAAAGATGGATCTAACTCGATGTTCAAATGTGAGTGTACACGGGTAACTCCCTGAGATCCACCTACAAAAAAGCCCACATGGAATGACAGTTTATCAATCCTAAAGTTTCAGACCAAACAAGAAATAATCTCATCTAATCTTCTCCTCTATATATATATATATATGTACATATATGAGCTGATTTAAGTCTTGTTTTGAATTGATGCAGCTCTGGCACTAATTCAGCACGGCGTCATGCTGAAAAATAGTATTGAGTTCCAGTTTGTGCGTTTAACCATACAATGTCAGAATTCACTCATTACCAGGAGTCAAAATTATTTCAGAATTAGCGAGATTTATTTCAGCATTGTTATAAGCTTGGGAATTCCCAACGACGACCATCTCTACAAGAAATTCCCAAGTTGTTCACACAGCATGATACTTAGTTATCTGAACAAATTTATGTCCAAAAATACGCTTGGACTATCACTGAAGCCTCCAGAAAGAAACTCTGGGACACAGACGAAAAATGGAACTTGTGTAACTACCCCTTCACACTTACTTTCACTTCTCCGGAAGTTTCTTAAGTTGCGCGCATTACGGACTCATCCGATGAACTGGTCCAATATCCAATATCCAATATCCTGATTACGAGCTAGTATAAACCAGTGATTTCTTTGAGCTCGCTTCTTGATTTTAAGGTAGAGGTTCCAGATCTTCGGTGAACTTATGCGTAGTAAATCCCGCCACTCGACTGCTTCAGCTCTGGTAGACTCCAGGAGGAGTGATGCGAGGATTGGTCAAGATTGTGGTTTGTAGTGTGCAGTATGTTAGGACTCAGCTGCTGCCGTGAATGGAGTTTGACCTAACACCCGTCGGTCATTCGGTATAGTCATAAAAGTAGAGTAATAATAATAATAATGATAATGATAATAATAGGTTGTAGTGTAGATAATATAGGTTGAGATAAGTGAAATAATAAAGAAAGAAAGATAGAGTAGTCGGTACAGTGGGAGAAGACAGGACGGGTCGTGAAGATTTAGCTTGTATGCTTATCCATTGACAATGTGGTTTCAAATTTTAAGAGGGTAAGCCATTGAGACACAAACCATGCATTTCTGCATGATTGTCCAGCTTCCGCTTAAAAATCTCCACAGATGGAGCTGTAGTTACGGCCGCCGGTAAAGCGTTCCAGAGACGGCAAACTCGAAGCGAGAAGAAATGTGAACGCACTCGAGTCCTTGGTCTCTGGTGTGCTATCCTTAGCGGGTTACCTCGTGGAAGCCTATAATCACTTAATGGCAGGATGCTCTTGTTAGGATGGGCCTGGTCATTTAGGATCTTATAGACGGTGATGAGGTCTCCCCTGTGACTACGGTAACTAAGTGTGAAAAGACTTAATTTCTTCAGTCTCTCCTCATATGATTTGTTGCGGAGGCCGATCACCCATTTTGTCGCTCGTCTCTGGACACTTTCTAGCATGTTAGCATCCCTTTTGAGTAGCGGAGGAGCAATGATATTATGCACCTCAAGGAGTGGCCTCACGTATGTCGTATACAACGTTAGGAATAGTTCAGGAGTAAGAGCTCCCAGTTGCCTATGCATAAAGTGTAAAGTGCCGTAAGCTTTGGCGACGTCCCTCGTGTAATTTACACTGGTGTCTAGCTTTTCTGTTAAAATAAGGCCTAGATCGCGTTCTGATGGCACACAACTCAAGTTCTGGCCACCAAGGGTGTAATTTGCACTCTGTGACCTGCCGGAATGAAGTTGCACTACTTTGCACTTCTTTAAGTTGAAAGGCATTCCGTTAGCCAGAGCCCAGTCCCCCAGCGTTTGCAGGTCAGCCTGCAATCTGTCGGAGTCTTCCGATGAGTTTATTGCTCTCCAAATCTTTACGTCGTCAGCGTAAAGAAGCGCAGAGCAATTCAGTTGACAGGGCAGGTCATTGATAAAAATCAAAAACATCAACGGCCCTAAGATAGAACCCTGAGGAACCCCTGATGCCGAGGTGTGCCAGGATGATCGGATGCGGTTGACTTTGGTGCAGAATTCTCTCTCGCCTTTATGTCATCGTATTTGGTAGTTTCGTTTAGGGTCGGAATCCTCCAGTGACAGAATAGCTTGTTATTTCGTCAGCTCGCCAGTGAGATACACGACAGACAGGGTTGCTTTTGATAGGTATCTATATATATATATATATCTTATATCTAAAGGATAGAGGCACAAATGGCTTTTGGAGAGGCTGAGCACTTGAAGGTCACATATAAACATTGTGATTGGTTAATTCAACCGTGCGTAGACGTAACGGCAATACGGAGTTGGCGTTATCTGCTGTTAAAAGCCTGAAAGTGCTGTTGTTAGTGATGTCTGACGATATACGCAGATTATTCAACGAGATTTTAAAGAGCAAAAGTTTTAACTCCTGGGACTCATTTGAGGATGCTTTTAAAGAGTCTAACAAAGTTGCACAAACTCGTTATGTTGTCAGAAGTAGTCCGGTTGACAGAAATAATCCGATTTTGAGGTACGAACGGGTGGATTATGTGTGTACATTTGGTCAGAAAAGAAAAAGCCGATCAGAAGGAGTCAGACCTGGAACACCGTAAGTGTATATTTTTTTTCTTAATCCTTTTTTATCAGTATTAAGTGCATGGGTTGTACTTCAAGTTTTAGCGTGAACAGTTCTAACGGATGTCTGGTTATTGGTGATATGAGTGGTGAACATTATCATCCGTGTACAGAAGAGTTTATGATGGTTGACAATAGCAGACGTAAACTCACGGGAATGCAGAGGGTCATAGTGGATACTATGGTAGAATGTATGATTTCAAGTTCTGAATTGAGAAATGCAGTTTTCTTGAAATTCGGGAAATATGTTACCCGAAAAGGTGCCTTTAAGTTTAAAGAGCAAATGTTTGCAGGTATACATATATGCTTTATCTTAATTAAGGTATGAACCGTATGGATTCTGTTCTGCAATTATTAAGGTCGACAGGAGAGGTCAGGACTATGAGTTCAAATGGACAGCTTGATGTAATATGTTTCAGTCTGCACCAACAAATACAGCTTTATGAGTCTTTCCCAGAGGTAAATGTATTGACTCTACGTATAAAACGAATAATGTTGGGTAAGTTAGTGATAATAGTGTTATTTTTGCAGATTCAGTCTTTTTCAATTAGTTGTAACGGACGAATGTGGAAAGGATGCTACTGTAATGTTTGCTTTCTGTCGGCGAGAAACTGTGTCAGATACCACACATGTTCTGAGAATGTTACAGTCCATTATGGGATTTACAGACGGTACAAAAACATTTGTTATGGATAACTGCCAAGCAGAAATTTCTTCTGTGAAGGATGTTTTCCCGCGCTGCCGAATTATTCTGTGTTCATTTCATTTGCTTAGAGCCTTCGGTCGGAAGGTATTTGCGTGTTAGTGATTACTAATGTGGTTTTTTAGTTCCGTAATCCAGACCTACGTTATGCGCTTGGAAAACTGGTTACAACTCGTATTAGACCAAAGCAAGTTCTGCATAAAGCAGAAAAATGGTAAATACGTAGGTTCTCATATTTCTACTGTTACATACGTCATACGTTCCCCCAGGCGTACAATTTTTTAAATGGACATTGGATAAACAACAGGCACATGTGGGCGTGATGCTTTTCCAGAAAAGCACTTAATTTAGGTAACCACACAAACAACAGGGTGGAAATTGCTTACAGGCACTTGAAGCTGCAACTCCGACGAAATGATCCCTTAGTGTTGACTTTATGGAAGGTTCATAATACGGCCCTGAAATATTGGAGACTGCGGTCGTACGATACTGTGTTTGAATTGCAGAAATTTCGTCAGTTCAACGTAAGTGTAACTTTACTCTTATACTATTGTATAGGTTCCTGATCCGATTCAAAGGCAATTGGACAAATTGACACCGTATACAGCTGCGACTGTCAACAGGAGTTACGAACGTATCCGCAAACTCCGTCATGAATTAGTGGGCAGTGACATAATTGATTGTTTCGATGGAATACATGACCACTTGGTTGATACCTCCGCTGGAGTGTGTACCTGTCACCACTTCCATGACCACGGTCTCCCTTGTTCACATGTCCTGTGCGCCTACTATAAGGGATTGTTCACTGGAGGTAACGTGATTTTGTGTGTTACAAATGTATACGCTTTCATATATATTGCAATACAGCCGCAGATGGTGCAGAGAATACAACCTAAATATTTCCATTAGGACAATGCAGCGAGTTAATATTACAGAGTGTGATGTAGACGAATACGCACAACGGGTGTGGCAGTGTCTTCACCTTTTAAAGAAAATTAATGCAGATATTGCGCTTGATGTTATCAAGAGACATTAAAGTGAATATGAAAACATTCTCAGCGGTCTACACACGTCAATTTAACTGTTGGATTGTTAATAATTTCTGTCGTGTAAACATGGACGTTAACGTATTTCGCTTGCATTGATTGATATCACCAATTACATCCTCAAGTCTCATTGAAAAATCTAGCCTCCATCTCATGATGATGACGAATTTATTTTCAGTCATGTTGAATAAAAAAGGTACAGTAAGCACAATGTGGCATTACGAACTTTTAAAGGTGGATGATACATCCATACAGCTTTCGACATTTTATGTTACTTTACTTCAAATAGACGTGTTTTAAATGCACACTTATTTCTTTATAAACATTTATATTTACACATAATTAAGAGTAACAATGCAGTCAACTAAGTAATTGATTTGTTTGCTACATTATATTTGCAATCTACGCCTCTATTCAACTGACATTCTTAGGTACTGCATTTATTATTATCATTCTTTTTCATATGGCCATGACTGTCACTGAAACAAGTATATAATACTTATCATTATTAGTCTTATAATATTACACTCATAATTGTGTTAACGTTTACTTTATTACAATTTATAGTTAATCACGTGCAACAGAAGTGACAACAATGTACATGCAGCCTTATGCAGGCCTACAAGACATTTTGTTTTAAGTGTATACACTTGTTCAGACTGCATGAATCTCTTACATCTTAATCAGTTCTACGGCATGTCATTCTTCACGAAAATAATAAGCAGCGTATTGATCCTTTCGTGAAATGCATTCAAGTCTTAAACAGTCAATATTTCCCCAGTGCGTCATTAAGCCTTACGTGAAGTCATTCAGCTATGCAGAATCGCGTCGCGTATAATAAAATTATTCACTGCTGTAAAGAAGACAATAATCGTAGATCACGTATTTGTAATGCAGTAACGAAGCATAACTGAGATAACGTAGGTAATATATGTACGCGACTGCTATCGGTATATCAAGTAGTCCAAGTTAAGTATGCTAAGTATACCCTATCTATCAGACGTACTCTAGTATTTTTTGCTGTTCATTAGGTTACTGTCTCAAGGGAAATCATTAAGTGATGAAATGATACCTACGCCCTTACACAATCACCTAAGCATTTATACTTATCTCACACTTGTAGGCATCAATCAAATTCAGTGACTAATTCGTTCTTACTAGGAAATACAACTTATAACGTAATCTGTCAATGTGATAACTGATATCCTGAATAGAACATTTTACACACAGTGCTTG